TTTGAGACACAGAGACAGTGAAGTGGGGGAGGGACAGAGAGAGAAGGAGACACAGAATCTGAAACAGGCTCCAGGCTCTGAGCTGTCAGCACAGAGCCCGACAAGGGGCTTGCACCCATGGACTGTGAGATCATGACCTGAGCCAAAGTTGGATGTTCAACTGACCGAGCCACCCAGGCGCCCCTCTCTGTGCGTGATTTCCAAAAGTGCACGTATGGAAGATACATAGATTATATCACATCCTAATTAAATATGAGAAAAAAATAAAATTGTAGTATTTAATTTAAGTGAAGGAAAAAAGCAGGGTGCATAATAAGTGTATATACTGCGTAACCGGTTGAACAAAGGGAAGGAATATATATTTGTGTCTTATTCTGTATTCATTAAAAAAAAAAAATCTTTGGAAGAAATCAGAAGAAACTATTGACCATGGTTTCCAGTAGAGGGCAGGGGGGAGACCTGGGCAGATGGACAAGGGTAGGAGAAGGATTTTCAGTGTATTTATGTTTTTCATGTATTTGTTGGGGTTTCAGTATCATGGCAATTTTTAGTAGTTTTGTTGAAGTGTAACAAACATAAAATAAACTGTACATATTCATAGTATGTATACATTTTATACCTTTTTTTGAACCTTGTGAATATGTTGCCTATTAAAAATGGAAAGAAAATAGTTAAAACTTTAAAAATTAAACGTTTAAATAAATCAACAAATAGCAAAGCTGGCCTGTCCTAGGTTTTGTTATATGCACTTGGGCCCTTTCCTTTTAACTTCTTGTAGAAATTTTGGGTAAGATTAGCTTGTGGTTTTGCCAACAATAAAATATTCTCTTGTCATCTTTTAAAAAATTTTTTTTTTCAACGTTTATTTATTTTTTGGGACAGAGAGAGACAGAGCATGAATGGGGGAGGGGCAGAGAGAGAGGGAGACACAGAATCAGAAACAGGGTCCAGGCTCTGAGCCATCAGCCCAGAGCCTGACGCGGGGCTCGAACTCACGGACTGCGAGATCGTGACCTGGCTGAAGTCGGACGCTTAACCGACTGCGCCACCCAGGCGCCCCTCTCTTGTCATCTTTTAAATCCTACCTGATGCAGAAGGTTTCAAAAACAAAACTGTCACAGACATGTTCCTGATCTCAAGGTACTGACATTCTTCAGAATGAACAGTGAATGCCCAGAAATTTCTAAATTAGGGTTGCAGCCTAGGACAAGGACCTGGCCCAAATTCTCTCACTGTAAATAAACAAGGTTTAAGGCAATTGTTCCCCCACCTCCCATGCCCCCTTGGTAGGGCTCTGCCTCTCACATAAATCTGTTTGGAACTACAGAAAATCAGACCTTGGGCATAAAGGTGTGACAGGAGAGCTCCAGCTGGCCTGAGTACAACATGAAAGGATGTGACTTCATCCTCATTTCACATTCAGTGCTTTGCTTCAATTACATCCTCATATTAGGGTCACTTGGCCCAGACCTTTTCTTGGTCAGAGAAAGGGTCTTTCTGCTTCTGGAACTCCTGATTCTGGTTCTCTAGGTAAGGATGTGCCCTACTGTTTGCTGTAGTCGATCTTTGGTTTCAGTGATTTGGGCTCAGGAGATTAGGCTGAAGGGAAGCAAAGATGAGAACTTTCTCATTCAACTTTTGCATGTTTGCTGTCTTCTCCCTCCCTTTGTCCCTTGATCTGCTAACCCAGATAACTGCTTTGTTCCATCCGGATTTTATCATTGAGAGGAGCCAATCAGACTTGGATACTCAGTGCCATGGTTGGAATCAACTTGCTCTTGTTCTCAGATTTCCACTTTCTGTGCCACCCGGGCACCTCTATGGATAAGTCAAGCCATTCTTTCTCAGTCCAGTTTCATTATGGGAGCAGGTGCTTAGGGAAAACAGCGTAACCCAGTAGTAGGAGCCCTGGTTTGGGAATCAGATAATCCGAGTACAGGACCTTACACTGCTGTGAACTATGTCACCCAGTAGTTAGGATTTGATTCAATGCTGTATCCTTGGCAGGGGCTTTGCCAAAGTACATTCATTGATTGGGACAGATTCTCTGCTCTGGTTTCTTCAGTTGAAGATAGAGATGATTTTTATACCTCATTGCCAGTAAGCTATACTAAAAATAAATACATTAAAATAAGACAAAAGATGGACAAATAATGTATTCTGTATGGAGCTGATTTGTAAGGTGCGGGGGCAGAAATGGTTTCTCAGGAGCCTTCTAACCCCCTGTGTGTCTGGCTCTGAGGGAAAGAGTGCAGCTTGGTTGAAGCTCAGCCATATAGGAGGGTGGAGTCGCTTCTGTGTTTATCGGCTAAATGACATCTTTGAGATTCCAGGTGCAAGGCAGCTCTGTCCACTGTTGGCATCTTTAAGGTATTTTTTCTCCTTTCTCTTTATGATGAGTAGTTGCATTTTTTTTTTTTTTTTAATTTCTTAGAGTGTAAGCAGGGGAGAGGGGCAGAGGGAGGGGGAGAGAGAGAGAAGGAGAATCCCAAGCAGACTCCACACTCAACCCAGAGCCCAGCATGGGGCTTGAGCCCACGACCTTGGGATCATGACCTGAGCTGAATTCAAGAGTTCGATGCTCAACCAGCTGAGCCACCCAGGTGCCTGGGTAGTTGCATGTTTACTTACTGTAAATAACTTTGATAATTTTATCCTCTAAACAGACTTTGTGAAGAGATAGGCCTATGTTACATCTACATTTCATAGATGAGGAAACTGTGGTTCAGAGAAGTTATATAATTTTCCAAAGTTAAGTAACAAGTAAATGGCATGGCCACTTCTCTTTGTATTCTCCATGCTTCAGTTTCTTTTTTTTTTTTTTTTCAACGTTTTTATTTATTTTTGGGACAGAGAGAGACAGAGCATGAACGGGGGAGGGGCAGAGAGAGAGGGAGACACAGAATCGGAAACAGGCTCCAGGCTCCGAGCCATCAGCCCAGAGCCTGACGCGGGGCTCGAACTCACGGACCGCGAGATCGTGACCTGGCTGAAGTCGGACGCTTAACCGACTGCGCCACCCAGGCGCCCCACCATGCTTCAGTTTCTAATCTGTAAATCTGAAATTAGGAATAGGACCCAGTGATGTTTGAGGGTTTTACCATCCTGATCAGAACTCAGTTAATCAAATACTTAGTGTCTTAAATCATTTGTGGAGGATTTTACTTTCTTATAACAGTGTGAATTGAGTATCTTATGTACAAAGCACTATGGAGGCAGGACATGTAATACAAAGTCTTTACCGTCAAATAGTTTACCCTGCAGAAGGTGAATGCCAGCAGTGGATATCTGGTGTTATGTAGTGTAGAAGATTTTCAGTGAGCAGAGATGGACCAGGGAGCTAGGAGTCTGAGAATATTGGTCAGGGCCAAGCTGTGGGCACAAAAGTCCCAACTGGTATCAGTTAGGAAGTGGCCAATTAGGGCACTTGGGTGGCTCGGTCGGTTGAACGTCCAAATCTTGATTTTGGCTCAGGTTGTCATCTCAGGGTCAGGGGATGAAGCCCTGTGTCAGACTCTGTGCTGAGCGTGGAGCCTGCTTAAGATTCTCTTTCTCCCCCTCTGCGCTCTCCCGTGCTTGTGTTCTCTCTCTCAAATACAAATAAAATTATATATATACATATATATGTATATGTATGTGTATATAGATATGTATGTATACATATATATATGTATATACGTATGTATATGTAAATATAAAGGAAGTGGTCGATTATAGGAGTTTGGCAAGAATAGGGACGCCCTGGTTCTAGTAGTCAGGGTTCTGTATGTCTGCTGTATGGTTGCTGACCTAGAGTCCCAGGTTGGGATGTGAGATTTTCTAAGACTGCGAGTCAGTGATTCTCTTAAGAATGAGGCACCAGAAGATGAGGGGTAAGTCTGTGAAGGATCAGAGAACTGAGGGATGGAGCAACCAGGGCCAAAATAGCTGTGGGACTATCTCAGTTGGAGCTGGGTACATCACAGTCCCCCAGCAATTAGCTCAGCAGTTGGTATGACAAGAATATCAGCCATTCTTGTCCCTTCTTTTCCTTAAAAGGCAGCTGAAATTTATGAAAGGTTTTCCCAGGGCAATTCAAAGGGGCTGCTGTTGTGCCCTGGTGTGTGTGTGTGTGTGCGCGCACGCGCGTGTGTTTGTGCGCGCGCGCGTGTGTTTGTGCGCGTTCACATGTGTACACACACTCCTACTGTCACAGAGGTTCTGAAGCCTTCAGAAAAGATGTGTCCTGATAGTATGGGCTTGCTCACCTGGTCATAGGCTGTTCTTTGTGCTCTTTTCAGGAAATAAGCAAATAAAACCCATTTGGAAAAAATACTACTTCAAGCATCTTTTTATAGCTCTTTCAATCTCATGCTACAGGCGTGTAGTTCTGGGCCTCGGGTCATTATAATTCATGACTGTGTCTTCTTTTATCTTCTTTGGGTTTTTATATTTTGATGTAAAAGTGAATTACCATCAGTGGGATTTTCCGGAGGCATTCCTGTTTGTCCTTTTTGTTTGTTCAAATGAAACAGTGCATCAAGTATGGAATTAGATTAATGGAGTAAATATTATGAATCATACGCTCTCTCTAATCTGATGCTCTTTCTTTTTTTTGACCCCATGTTTTGTTTTCTGTCTCTGTCTTCGTGTAGGATTTTCAGTCCAGCGTAAAGCTGTTGGAGCGAGGAGCAAAGGTAAAGAATGATGTAATGCGCTGGCTGCCCCAAAGCATCTTTTGTTGTGGAATGGTTATTCCAGTCATCTCTTTATGAATCAAATGTGAGGGGCTGCTTTGTGGAAGGAGTCCTTTGCAAGAGCACATCAACGGGGAAAGAGAAAGGGACATTCACTTGGAGGGCTCTTGCTGAAAATGGGTTTAACTCTCCTTTTGCCAGTCACCACCAGCCTGACCTCATACATTTTTAGTACAATGGAGTGGCTGAGCCTTTGAGCACACCACCATTACATCATCGTGGCAAATTAAAGAAGGAGGTGGGAAAAGAAGACTTATTGTTGTCATGGCCCATGAGATGATTGGAACTCAAATTGTTACTGAGAGGTTGGTGGCTCTGCTGGAAAGTGGAACGGAAAAAGTGCTGCTAATTGATAGCCGGCCATTTGTGGAATACAATACATCCCACATTTTGGAAGCCATTAATATCAACTGCTCCAAGCTTATGAAGCGAAGGTTGCAACAGGACAAAGTGTTAATTACAGAGCTCATCCAGCATTCAGCAAAACATAAGGTAAATGTTTGCTTTTTTCCTTTTTTAAAATAGACACCCTGAATGAGGAATAATTGTAAAACAAAGTCTCATTTTTAGGGGAAAAAGTAATTTGAGTGAGTTTTGGTTGCTTTTTAAACTTTGGTACCTAAGGGATACCTCCAAGTAATTTACTAACCACGCTGTCACATTTCAGAATATTTCTAAACTATACAGAAAGGGTAACTTATTTTAATTTGGTCAAATGCTGTGTTTTCCTATTAATGGTTTGCTAAACTTTTAAAAAAATTAAATACTAATAAATAGTTATAGTTAATACACAATATTATTAGTAACTTAATACACAAAATTTATAATATGTGTATCAGAAGTTACTAAATTAATACATTATTTTGTATTATCTACAAATTTACTGAAAGGAGATCATTCTGTAAGAGTGCTCGGGAAGAAAGTGGAAACTAATTGTATCAGAAGTGCTGTTTATTTGTGGGAAGGGAAGGCACCATTGTTCAAGATTTAGGGATGTTATCTTCGAGGAAGGTATTTCTGGGATACCAAAATGTCGTCCTCATGGTAGGTAAAGCTGTTTTTTTTCTTCAGGAATGAAAATGAGTTCATGTTTTAATTTTACTAAACAACTGATTTATTTGTTTTGTAGAAACGTTTTTAAATGTTTCTTTAGTTCAAGGGTTGTTAATGTTTATTTTACATACTGTTTTATGAGTTTTAGCCTTTTACAGTGTTAAGGATTTTAAACCAAGGCATTTGGAGCACACCTAACATCAATTTTGCCTTTTAAAAGTTGATTTTTACAAGTATCTTACCATTTGTATGCTAGGTTTATCCAGAAAATTGACTGCGTCTCATTTTTATTCATATTATTAATTGAAAGCGGGAGACAGTTATCTGCTTCAGCACCAGAGGATTGTGGGAGCTGCCTTCCTAACAGCCTCACGTTTGCATTGCAGGTTGATATTGATTGCAGTCAGAAGGTTGTGGTTTATGATCAAAGCTCCCAAGATGTTGCCTCTCTGTCTTCAGACTGTTTTCTCACTGTACTTCTGGGTAAACTGGAGAAGAGCTTCAGCTCCGTTCACCTGCTCGCAGGTAAGGTTTGTGGCAGAAGTGAAAGGACTTCGCATCTCACCGAGCCTTGGCAGTGAGCTCAGCGTAAGATAGGTCATCACAACTGGGAATGTATTGGGTAAACTGATTTATTTATAGCTTCCGGTTGACATAGCTATTCTGTTTAACTTGAATATTGTCATTCTTCCACATTAGTGGCATACACATCAGTGTATTTTTTTACTTCGCTCAAATGCCTCTTCATTTGGTATTTATGAGCTAGAAATGTCACATAGACAGGTGTGCTGCTTTTAGCCGGGGGATTTTTCCATTCACCTGGGATCTAAAAACACGAAATGCTCTACCTCTCAGCTCCTCTTCTTAGTTCCCGCCCCCTGTGGCAAGAAGCAGAGGAGTTTCACAGGGTTGAACTCTTATTAAACATTTACAGTTAAAGTGGACTCCAGCAATGAGCTCACCGTTCTTGGGCATTATGAACAATGAGGGGAGAATGTAGACTATTTATTCTAATAATTAGGGGGACAATTTAAAAACTCATTTACTTTCATATTTTTCTTTCATTTTTACAACTGGAAAAGGTCTCAGTTTGCAAATACTAAGCTTATGGTTTTATGAAATACATGAGAAGAACTAAGTATTTTATGTCTGTCTTAAAGGGGGGGCGGTGTGAGAGTTCCATCTCACTGATTCTACAGCAGAGTGCTCATACCAAAGCCTGTCACTCACACTGGCTCAGAGCAGGGGATACAGTTTGACCGTGCACAGTGACCTTGGACACACAGCTGCTGTGGCCTGCAGATTGTGCCACAGTGAAAGGCAAGATTGATTTTAAAAACGTGACCTAAGAAAATAAAATATGGTAGATATTATCATTTTCACATCTTGAGTCTTTTGTTGCAAGGAGGATACCGTGAACTTGTTGGCAGTTGATTGTTGGAAGTGTAAACACATTTCAGTTTTCAGAGAAAAGGATGAATCCATTGTCGGTGTGTTAACACTTAAACTCTGTGAAGCTTTAGATGAGATTTCCATATCTCCAGTTCTCTCTCCTCAGCTCTTGCTTCAGGTCTCAAAAAGCAGGCATAGATTATCCGTTGTCATACCCTTCGCTTATGCTGTGATTCTGCCTGATCTTTCTGTTGGTTTCCTTACGTGAAGTCAGTGTGTCTTGGAATGCAGTTTTCAGAATTCCGTGGCTGAGAATTATGTTAGGTTCTATCTCTTGTTGCTGGGTGCATTCTTTTACTGGGATATAACTGTGGTAAATATGACAGCTGTTATTGGAGTTCCATTAAACTCATCTGGTGAGTTTAGGAACTCCTTTCATGCTTCTTGTAGGCACTCTGAGGACTTTACCTCGGAATCCTACCAGTGGGATCAGGGTTATTCTTTAAAGAGGGTACACCAACTGTGTGCTTCCCGGGAAAGACACTCTGCGCCTCACTCTTGTTTGAGACGCTTTCCCTATGGAGGGACTCTGACTTGACAGCGTGGCCAGATGGACACTCCTGTGGAGGAGTGAGCTCATACTGAGTTTCTAGCACAGGTGTTTCAGTTCCTTAAATACCCTTTCTCCCCTTTACCAAAGAACACTCCTTAGTTACCTGGGAAGGTTCTTATCAGTTGTGTGTTGGTGTGGGAGGAGCACTCCTTGGGCAAGGGAGAAAAAGGACTCAGTGCGATCGGCTAGATCAGCCCTACGGACATGTGGAATGACACATTGGATCAGAACACCTTGACATCCCCATATCATACATGAAATGCTGCCTGGGTCTCAATGAGAGTCCATCCAGGCAGCACCAAGAACCACACTGAATGTATTGCTGACACCATATTCCCATCCACACCCCAGAATCCTGTGTATCTTTTAGTTCAGGAGGTGGCTTCAGGGACTGAATTGCCTTGTTTGGGAGTGAGCAGCCAGATCTCTTATGAAACCTAAGAGAAGGTTCTCAATGGTTGAAAGCCTCCAGCTGTCCAAAAGCCTCTGACCAATTGGAAATTCCCTTGGTTAGTGACAGGAGTGGGCAGAAAAGTGGCAGAAGTGGAAGAAAATGCTTGGGAAGGTATGGCCATCAATTGTTGGCAGCCCGTTGTGTTGCCAACATCTAGCTGCTCATAGGATGTTCCAGGGATGTGGGTTGGAAGGACATAATGACAGATGTTTCTTAAATATCTTGCCTAACTGGAAAAGCACACAAGCTTCTCACAGGTGCTACAGAAAATGACACGGTAGGTGGAGACAGTTTTCACTACAAACTGCCCCTGTTGCTTCCAGCAGTTGGAGACAGTTTCAACCTCATGTGGATGTGGTAATAGAAAGATGCAGTGGTTTCTCCATCATTCTAGAGCTTTTAGCTACTCTGAGATATTCAGGAAGCAAGTATCAGATGTGAGATGCTTTAAAGAAATGTGGCCTGAATTGCATTCATATTCTCAGAGAGGGCTAGCTACCTTGCCTGGGAAAAAATTACTTTGGAGAAGGGGAACAAAAAGACATCCCCACAGAACTGATAGATGAAGCATTTTTATGTGCTCTCTCCCTCCAATAAGAGGAGACCCAAACTTACCAAGAGGACCTAGTTATATAGACACAAAGAAGTGCAGGATTACTGAAGGAAATGCGGATTGGGTTTGGGGAAGCTATACTGGCATGGGCTTAATTCCTTAACATGGAACAGGTCCTGTTTGGGGACGGGGCTAGACTATTAAACTTGTTTCTGCCAGGTGAAAGGGGTTCTTGGGCAGCTGATTATCAGGGAGACCATTTTGCCAACGCTTCTAGTCCTGAAACTTGGAACCTGGTTCTTCAGTGAACTCTACCTGTATTGGCCACATCTGCAGGCCTCCTCGGCTGGGGACCTTGACCAGCTTTCCCTTCTTCTGAGAAGCCCAGTCAGTACTGTCAACAAAATGATTCATTTGATAACCATATGCTATCCTGTCATAAATCTTCCATTATTATCTTAAAATCTTATTTAAACCTTATGTTATCCTTTATCTTTTTCATTTATTAGCTTAACTCCCCTGCTGAATTCTTTTTCAAGCTGAGGACTATGTCTTTTTCATCTTTGTGTTCTCCAGGAGGCCCAGCACTTCTTAAGTTTTCAGTAAATATTTGTTATCTAAATTAGCTTACATGTAGGTTTGTATCATTTCTGTTTCACGTGATTCATTTTCTTAGTGTAGAATATCAGTGATTCTATTAAATAGTCATGAGACAATATGAAGTGTAGTGAAAACTTGAGATTGTTTTGAAATAAATGATTTACAAAGTATATTTGTTCAGAGCAAACATACAGCTGTTACAGAAAAGTAATATGAAAGTGTTTTCATCTATTTAAGTAGATTTAAATACGATTTTAAGAGTTAATAAAAATACTGAGATGAGCCAGTGCTAATTTTATGTCATCCTTAAATACTGAACTTTAATAAAAAGCTAATAGCTCTGGAGACCTAGCTCCACTCATAGGAAGATACAAGTCCTTGAGTCTGTATGAGCTGAGAATGGTTGTGATAATTTCTGCATATTCTTTAAAAAAAATTTTAATGTTTTTATTTATTTTTGAGACAGAGAGACACAGAGCATGAGCAGGGGAGGGGCAGAGAGAGAGGGAGACACAGAATCTGAAGCAGGATCCAGGCTCCGAGCTGTTAGCACAGAGCCTGACGCAGGGCTCGAACTCACAGACTGCGAGATCATGACCTGAGCTGAGGTCGGACTCTTAACCGACTAAGCCACCCAGGCACCCCAATTTCTATATATTCTTAAAGGTAAATATAAACTGATCTATTTAGCCATTGGGAAGTCTCCCAGTAACCAAGCCAAGCCAAACCATAGCACTGTTTTACCCTCAGAGGAGTAAAGAATTTGATTATCAGGAGCAGCCTCATCTTAGTAAGAAAGAGTGAATTTGGGTCCCTTTGGGAAGTTCTCCATCATCATTGGATAGATGGTGACAAAACCATCTTTTCCATTTTTTTTTTTTAATTTTGAAGTCAGTTATTAAATAAGCACAGTTTAAAAATACATGTATCCTCCCACAACCATCTGTAAAAATAAGACTTAAGAATTTGAGTTAATAGGGTGACAGAATGGGTGACATAAACATTTGTTTCACAAAAATGACTATAACTGGGGATTCTTGTTGGGAGGATTTATATGGAATAACACGTATGAAATCTTCGATATCAGTCTTTTAAAAAAAACTGTTATCATTGTGAGTTAGAAAACAAATAATCAAGTTTTTGGTCTTGGTAGGTAATGTTCAGAAAACTCGTTTTCTTTAAAAAATATTGGTGTTGCCTGCGTGGCTCAGTCTGTTAAGCGATGACTCTTGGTTTCGGCTCAGGTCATGGTCTCACGGTTCATGAATTTGAGCCCCTTGTCGGGCTGACAGCACAGGGCCTGCTTGGGATTCTCTGTCTCTCTGTTTCTCTCTCTCTGCCCCTCCCCAGCTCGCGCTCTCTGTCTCTCACAAAATAAACTTAAAAAATAAAAAATAATCTTGTGTCTTGGCCTTTACTTATTCACTGTGTATCACTTTATTCTACATGCTTTTTGTCTATTATATTTCTGAGGGTGCCAGACTGAACATAAATATAGAAGGAAAAAAGGAAAAATACTGAATTTGGACTTTCATTTCTTGGTAACATAGAGAAAAGAGAATAAATGGGTCATTAGTACAAATAAAGATCAGCCTACAGATGAGAAATACGGTTCTGTTATTTCCTTCTCTTTCTTCTGTGTTGTAATTCTGAGTAAAAGCAAAAGGGGCCCATGACAGTTGATTAATTCTGCATCACTCCTTCCTGTCCTGTGATGAGGCACAGGATAACCAGCCCTACAGCAAAACACCATGAAGGAGTCATGGACTTCAGCCCTTTCATTTACAAATGAGGAAAGTAACAGAGCCTTGAGTGGGTCTCCCAAGCTCTCACTCTCACTATGTTCCCCAGGCCCATATCTGCAATAATTCCAGAGTCTTCTGGAATTTCATCAGGAGGCTGAACTGAATTGG